GCAACCCGTTCGCGGCGCTGTTCGGCTCCGTGGCGGACGCGCGGCACTTCGCGGCCGTGCAGAAGCAGCAGCTGCGGCAGCTCGCAGGTGAGTGGCGGCCGGGCCCCCCCGGTGCCGCCCGGCGCCCGCCGCGGCCTCACGGGCGCCCCGCGGCAGGCGACGACGCGTCCGCCAGCCAGGATGACTCGGACAACAGCGTCTCGGAGAGCCTGGACGAGTGCGACTACTCGGTGGCCGAGATCAGCCGCTCGTTCCGCTCGCAGCGCGAGCTCTGCGAGCAGCTCAACATCAACCACATGATCCAGCGCATCTTCCTCATCACGCTGGACAACAGTGAGTGCCGCCGCTCGGCCGCCACGTCGGGCTCGGGGGGGCTGGGTTGCGAGGTGCCGGCGGCGGCGGCGTGTTACGCGGCCCCCGTTTCCCTGCGGGTCGCCGTGCGCCTCGGCGGTGTCGCCAGAGCGTGGCGGTCTGCGCCTTTCCGCAGGCGACCCCAGCATGAGGAGCGGGAACGGCATCCCGGCGCGCTGCGTCTACTTGGAGGAGATGGCCGCGGAGCTCGACGACCAGGACTGGCTGGACATGGACAACGTGGAGCAGGTGCCGTGCCGTGGCTCCCCTGGGGCTGCCGAATCGCGTCCCGATACGCCGGGGGCTGGGAGGGGGGAACAAGCGTCCAGCCACGGGATGGGGCAGGCGGTCACGTCTCGGTTGGCGGCGCCCGTGGGGCTGAGCTGCTCACGCGCCTCCCCGCCGCTGCCAGGCGCTCTTCACTCGCCTGCTGCTGCCCGAGCCGGGGAATCACCTGATCCACATGACGGCCACCGGCGCGCAGAACCTCTCAGCGGACAGGGACGCGGGCGAGCGGCAGATCCTGCGCTACCTCTACGCCTGCTTCCGCAGAGCCAGGGAGGAGGTAGGCGGGCGCTCGCGGCCGAGATACCGGCCTGGTGAACGTGGTAACAGCCGGCGAGAATCGCTGCTTCCCGCGGCGGGAGACGAGGCCGCCCTGTTCTGCGTGCGCAGATCACCAAGGTCCCGGAGAACCTGCTGCCCTTCGCCGTGCGCTGCCGCAACCTGACCGTATCCAACACGCGCACCGTTCTGCTCACCCCGGAGATCTACGTCAACCAGAACGTGTACGAGCAGCTCGTGGACTTGATGCTGGAGGCGCTGAGAGGAGCGCGTAAGTGGCACGGAACTGCAGCGATAACTTACTCGGCAATAGGGATGGCTTGCGAAGGCAACTAGTAACGTCGTGAGTGTCTCTCGTCGCTGTGGCTGCGTTTTTCTGTAATAAACGTGTTTAGGGCCCCTGAGACTTAAGATTCTCTGTCTAGAGACAAAGTAGTGAAATCAATTGTCTGATTTGAGGAAGATGCGATTCTAAAGGGTACTAGTGTTTGCAGGGCAGCTCTGGAGACGCCTGGGTCTCCTGTAGATGAAAGGTGACTTTTTTACCTAGCTATAGCCTGTAAGATCTCAAGCGAGAGGTTGCAAGAAGGATGTTGAGGGGTGGAATAAACATTTGGTTTCTGTCGGTGTTCTTTAAAAAGGGGCTGGGGTAGCGAGCTCTGCTGTGCTAGCCTCGTTTCTCTTGCTAGATTTTGAAGACACGACCGAGTTTCTGGAGGAGGTTATAGAAGCCCTGACGCTGGATGAGGAAGTGCGGACGTTTGGGGAAGTCATGATTCCAGTGTTTGACATTCTATTGGGCAGAATCAAAGACCTGGACCTTTGCCAGATTCTGCTGTACACTTACCTGGACATGCTCCTCTATTTCACCAAGCAGAAGGACATAGCCAAGGTAGGTTTCTTGGCGTGTTTTGGTGCATATTTGTGGCAGAGGAATCGGAGCAGGCGCAGTTGCGCTGCCTGAGTGTGGGTTCGTGAAGGCTCCTCTGGCATCTCCCTAAAGGATGAGGAGCAGAGGAGGGGCCCATGCTTGGGATGTGACACCTGGAGAGCGGGTGTGGGTCTTTGAGGCGAGCGCTTCTCCAGCGCCCAGAGCTGTGTGTGTCCGTGGCCAGGCCGCTTCCTGCGGGGGTGATTGCTTCTCCCTGCTCCCTTCAGAGCAGGGCATGACGACCTGCTGCTGTCTTCCCCTCTCGGTGTCTCAGCCCTCGCCCCAAAGCCGTAGGTGTGTTCTTGTGGGACTTCTATGTAATCCTCAGCACACGCATCATCTGTGCTCCGCAGGTTTTTGCAGACTATATTCAGCCCAAGGATCCTAGCAATGGGCAGATGTACCAGAAGACTTTGTTAGGTGCCATTTTAAGTATCTCCTGCTTGTTAAAGACTCCTGGCGTAGTAGAGAACCACGGCTACTTTTTGAGTCCGTCCCGATCCAGCCCCCAAGAGATCAAAGTTCAGGAGTCCAACATCCATCAGGTGGGTGGCAGTAGAGCTTCCTAACGCGCTTTATTTATCTCCCTCTTTCCTGGCGGTTACAACAGCACCTCTCCTGAAATCAAGTCTTGTAACTGCCAGCTTTTTTTGTAGTCTGGGATGTGGCTAAGCAAGCTACAGTACTGCTTTGAGCTGGGGATTCTGCATCTCTTCAGTAAGAGTGGTGCTCCCAGACCCTGTACTGATCAAGTGTTACAGACTGCTGCATGAAAGGTGCTGCCTAAGAATATCTTAGAGTTTATTATGGTAGCAGCTTCCTGAGGCTTCCAGAAGGACACGGATGCTCATAGAACACTTAATAGCTGCAGAACTTTAGAGAGTGTTGGCACGTGAGAGACATCAGCATCGCACCTTGTAATCACTGTGTGGTGGCTTGTGGTGACTGTCCTCTAACGAGCCTGCAAGCAGACAAAGGTACTGGCAATATGTTCTCCCACGTTAAGATGGGAAATACCTGCCCTACCTGGAGGGGTGGTACCAGGAGGCCTGCACAGAACATTTTGGAAGTTAAGGAGCATCACAAAAGAGCAAGTAGCATCATCCTCATTCTCCAGGGGAGTAAACTCATGTGCAGAACTTTGTCCTCGAGAACTGGGTTCCTAGTAAGGCGTTCTTCCCGGCTCATTCTTTATGCCCAAGTGGCATAAGGAATGCCCAAGTGGTTTTGGGTCTGCTCCCCATAGAAGCAGCTTCCTCTTTCCTGCCTGCGCTTTTGAGTACGTTCCCTCACATTCTTTGCTGGCCTCAGGATTTGACCTGTTGCCCATAGGTGACTGTTTGAGCTGTCCCGGCCATAAGCTGCTTTGAAAATCCCATGCTTTAGGAGCAGGGAATGGGGCAGTCTGGACCCAGGCCAGCTCTGAAAGCACCAGTGCTTTAAGTGACAGAACATGTAGAATGAGCCACTGCCAACCACAACTGTTTACCCACCTTGCGTTCTCCCAACAGTTTATGGCCCAGTTCCATGAGAAGATCTACCAGCTGCTGAAGAACCTCCTGCAGTTGTCTCCAGAGACCAAGCACAGGATTCTGTCCTGGCTGGGAAACTGCCTCCACGCTAATGCAGGTCGCACCAAAATCTGGGCGAACCAGATGCCCGAGATCTTCTTCCAGATGTACGCCTCCGATGCCTTCTTCCTGAACTTGGGAGCTGCCCTGCTGAAGCTGTGCCAGCCCTTCTGCAAGCCCAAGTCTCCCAGGTTGCTTACATTTAACCCTACCTACTGTGCCCTGAAGGAGCTCAACGAAGAGGAGAGGAGGATTAAGAATGTGCACATGAAAGGTACGGTGGGAAGGAGCAGTGGCGCTTACCTGGGGGATCTCTTCGGGCCCTCTGGGATTCCTTCCCTCTCCCGGTAATGCATTCTCACTGTGCATGTACACCTGTCAAAGGATTAAGTGGGTAACTGGAGAGGAGCAAAGGAAAAGCTCGGAAAAAATAAAGCCTCGGCATCACTGGTTCCAGCATCGGTAGCAGTCAGCGCATGTTTCCAGCAGAACTCGAGCTCCCTGCAGTCCCCTTGCTGCTCATCCTTTCAGTGAGCACTCAGCGCAGCACTGCTTTCCATTCTAGGTTTGGAGAAAGAAACTTGCTTGATACCTGCTGTGACAGAGCAAGAGCCAGAGTTTGCAAACAGCTACAATCTAGTAACAGAAAACCTGGTCCTAACACAGTACACCCTTCACCTAGGATTTCACAGGTAACTCTTGTGTAGCTGGGTCAGTCTGTTGCTAAAGAGCTCACCCTGAGAGGGGTTCAAACATGATTGCCATTAGCAGAGGGCGAGAGAACTAGTGCCTGGGCTCCCATAATATCTGATGTTCTCAAGGTGAATATTCAGGCTGTAGGGGTATAAGTTTGTTTTCAGTGCTCTTTTATATCTACATACAGCTCTTTAAATCTCTAAAAAGCATCCAGAGCTGGACAGTCCCCTGGATTTCACAGCAGCTCGAGTGCTGCACTGCCCGAGTTGTTCAGCCTCTGCGGTCTGTCCTCAGGGGAAAGGAGCTTTGTCTCACTCCAAGGCTAGAGAGCACCTTGAGGGCTAAACACCAGCCGTGCGTGGCTGCTGGCAGTGCCCAGGCACTGGCCTTTCAGTGCACGTGCGAGGTAGCTCCCCGTTTCTAGGAGGGGATTGTCTGGACGCTCTTTTCCTTAGCCTCCCTCTGCAAGTCGTTGCCTGGATACTGTGAGGTCAGCACTGATCCAAGCGTAGGCCCCTTCTGGTTTATTATCTAAATATAGAAATAGATGGAAAAGTAACGCAAGTGGCTTGTTGCTGGGAAACTGCAAATGCCACCTCACAGGCATCTCTGGGGCAGCCACATCCCCGACCCGGGTAATCTAACAAGGTTTGTGGCTGCATGGGCTACTCGTGCCAGCCTCCCAGGTGCTTCGCAGGAGTGGCTGCCTTGCAGACTCTGCCTTCTGCAGTCTCTGCATCTTCGGGAGGCTGTAGCTTCCTCGCAGGCCCTGGCTCGGAGTTTGGCAAAGGCTTCTCATTGCCGGCCCCCAAAAGAGGCTAGTCGCAGGAAGGGCTTGGAGAAGAGCAGAGGAATCAGAGGACGGCAGCTACGGTGCAGCCCAAGCAGGCGGCGGGCGAGGAGCGTGGCACCGAAGCGGGAGCTGGCGGCCTCGCCCAGCCTGCTCGGCTCTCACTCGCTCTCCTCTTGCCTCCTTTCTGCTGGGTAGGCTGCACGACCAGATGGTAAAGATAAACCAAAGCCTTCACCGCCTGCAAGTGGCGTGGCGAGAGGCTCAGCAGAGCTCGAGCCCTGCCGCCGACAGTCTCAGGGAGCAGTTTGAACGCCTCATGACCATCTATCTGTCCACAAAGACGGCGATGACGGAGCCGCAGATGCTGCAGAACTGCCTCAATCTGCAGGTGTCCATGGCTGTTCTCCTGGTGCAGCTGGCCATCGGGAACCGGGGCACGGAGCCCCTCGAGCTGGCGTTCCCGCTGCCGGCAGTGGAGAGCAGCGCCCTGGCTCACGTACCAGGTGAGCGGCGCTCGGCGCGGCCACGGCACAGCAGGGTCCAGGGGCTGAGCAGTACCTTAGGAGACCAAACCAGCTGTCGCTTGGGCACACGTAGCACTGTTTTCTCTTGACTTACGTGTCACATTTTCCTTGTACTCTCAGCTACCTGGCAGTTTCCTTCCCTTGTGCTTTGCTATTTAATGGTGCCTATTATCAGCAGGCAGCTGCTGAACTTCCCCCTGCAAGTAAGTACCTCTGAGACCAATGAGGTAAATCCATTGCCTTGTCCAATTTCTCAGGCTGGGCATCCCTCAGGTTTGTGGTTTTCTAATATCAGCCATTACGTCTAGGAACTTGGTTGGAATCTGGGGCAGGGCATACGTGCAAGGGTACAAGGACAGCTAGAGAAGAGGCCGAGGGAGACCCTGCCTCCCGCATAAGAATAACACACAGTCTCTGTTTAGAGTTTTTTGCCGATAACTTGGGCGACTTCTTCATTTTCCTGCGTCGTTTTGCTGATGACATCTTGGAGACTTCGGCGGATTCTCTGGAGCACGTCCTTCACTTTGTCACTGTTTTCATGGGGGACGTAGAGAGGTACATACAGCTCCGCAGAAGCTCTTTCTGCTTGCAAAGCACTGTGATGGGAAGAGGCTGGAGGAGGTTGCCAGGGAGGTCTAGAGCAGCTTGGCTCTGCACCCTTGCTGAGCCTAACCGGGCGCCGCTGGGTGCACACCAACAGTGGCAAACACGTAGCCTTGGCAGTGCAGTAGCTCTGCTCACTGCTCTGCACTGCATTGCAGCTCCTTCGTGCAGGGAATCGCATCTCCAAATGTTGTCCAGAAAGTTTATCCTGGCTGCTGTGCACAAAGTTGCTTCTGTATTTTACAGTTGCCCTGGCAGTCTTCTCTCATGAGTGTGTGCGTGTGGGGAGGGGGCAGGGGGGGCGGTGTCTGATGGCTGCAGCAGCAAGTAGGAACGTGCAGCAGGTTGAAATCTGTACCTAAAGTGAAAATCTCCTTGCTCTACCATTGCCATAGTGTTTTACAAAAGGAAACATACAAATATTCTGTAGAGTGTCTCTCTCTCTCTCTCTCTCTCTCTCTCTCTCTCTCTCTCTCTCTCTCTCTCTCTCTCTCTCTCTCTCTCTCTNTCTCTCTCTCTCTCTCTCTCTCTCTCTCTCTCTCTCTCTCTCTCTCTCTCTCTCTCTCTCTCTCTCTCTCTCTCTCTCTCTCTCTCTCTCTCTCTGTATGTATATACACACACACACACTACTTGCGATCATTTAGCTGTGGCTTAGGAATTTTACTTAGAAAATAAGCATAGCAATTATACTTGCAAAAGCAGATGCTGAAAGGGCTTTTCATCCTTCAGTAATTCATTAGTAGCCCTGCTTGCAAGAGTCCGTCTGAAAAAGAATCAGAAACAGGTTTTTTTTCCAAGAAGGAAAATAATATTGATCCTTAGCGGTAACTTAAGACATCTGTAACACTGCTGCTGGGGCTGTGAGAAAAAGCTTCATTTCTCTAAGAAAAATAAGTACCTGCAATTCCCGACCAAGTTGAGGGAGCTGTAGTTCCTGATGACTCGTGTGGAGCGGGGCCTCAGAAGTAGGCGGCCCCTCATGCCCCGCTGGTCCGTTCCGCTCTTCAATCGTGCAGAATGAAGAACCCTCATCTGCGAGCCAAGCTGGCAGAGGTGCTGGAAGCCGTGATGCCCCACTTGGACCAGGCCGCCAGCCCCCTGGTCTCCAGCGTGTTCCATCGCAAGCGTGTGTTCTGCTCGTACCGGCACGCCGCCCCGCTGGCCGAGGCGCTCATCAAGGTCTTCGTGGACATCGAGTTCACAGGTGAGCGGCCGTGCCGCGCTCGCCGGCCCCCGTCCTTTCCCTGAGGGCAACGTGGCCGGCCCCCAGCACGGTGCTGGGCAAGGGTGCCCTCCGGGATCCCTGCCTGTGCCCGCCGCTCAGCAGAGACGCTCTCGCGCTTACGCCTAGGTGACCCACACCAGTTTGAGCAGAAATTTAACTACCGCCGTCCGATGTACCCCATCCTGAGGTACATGTGGGGCACGGACTCGTACCGGCAGAGCATTAAGGTAAGGCAGGAGCTGCTGTGCTCTTTGCGAAACGTTCTGCTCTGTCCCGCAGCTTGCCCTGCAGCCCAGCTCAAGCGCTGCTTTCTCGTTGCCCGTAGGTTTTGGCCGATTATGCTTCGGAGAACCTCGAGGCCATGAATCCCCCTCTCTTCTTGCGCTTCCTTAACTTGCTCATGAACGATGCCATTTTCCTGTTGGATGAAGCAATACAGGTAGGGTTCAGTAAACGTGCTGGGGGTGTCATGTAACAAGGGGGTCTCCCTCCCTCAGGCAGCTGGTTCCAATTGGACTGTTATCCCTGGAAAACGTCAGCTCATTGCGACTTCATGAGTCATTTCCTAGTCTGTAAGAGAATGGAGGCTGGAGGGGCAAATGCCCCAAGAGAAGGGGTTCAGGCAGAAGAATGTTGAGGTCCGGGACCAGAGCACACAGGAGAGCGCTCGCCTTTCCCAGCGACTTGGCAGGCCCGTTAGAGCAAAGGGAGCAAAAGGCCGGGCCACGGTTTAAAGAACGAAGGGGAGTCGTGCTGAGATCTGCCTGCTGCTAACCCGGGCAACACGGGGCTTTAAACAGGTTCTGCCGTCTGTGGTTACCACATCCTCTTGTGGGAGGGCCAAGGGCTCCCTGGTCCCAACAAAGGTGCCCTTCGTTTCTGGCCACTGTTTTCCCTTGGGTTGCGGGGACATCAGCTCTAGCTGAGCTCACGTCCCTGGTGAGCGATGGCCGTCTCGCCACACCCCGCAGAGCTGCTGGCTGCTGCTGGAGAGGGCTTTGGTTGGAGCAGCGAGTCCTCGTGCGAGAAGGGGCTGCCTGCGGGCTGGCAGCGATGGCAGGTGACGTGGCTCTAGCCCAGCTGTTCCTCAGCACTTGCAGGCTTTGTAACACTCGTCTAAATGAGCGCTCTGTGTTAGCTAAGCTCGTGTGATGCTGCGAGAGCTTCAAAGCCCCCGGGGCTCCCACTTGGTGCCTTGCCTCACATGGGCCTGGGGCCAGGCAGCACTGACTCCAGGGCCTGCATCCGAGGCGCCTGCTTAGCAGGGGTGTCACTGCCACATGTACCGCCTTGTGTCTTTGCAGTACCTGAGCAAGATTAAAGTGCAGCAGATAGAGAAGGATCGTGGTGAATGGGACAGCCTGTCCCCGGAGGCCCGCCGAGAGAAGGAGTCCAGCCTGCAGATGTTCGGGCAGCTGGCTCGCTTCCACAACATCATGTCCAATGAAACCATCGGCACTCTGGCCTTCCTGACGTCGGGTACGGCGGGCGGGTCTCCCTGCGGCTGCAGAGGGACTGGGAGGAGGATCCCCTTGGTCGAAGGCTGCCCCAGGGCTGGGTGATTGTGAAGCTCAGGGGCTGTTGGTTTCTGTTGCAGAAATTAAGTCCCTGTTTGTGCATCCTTTTCTCGCTGAGCGCATCATCTCCATGCTAAACTATTTTCTGCAACACCTGGTTGGCCCTAAAATGGGAGCCTTGAAAGTCAAGGATTTCAGCGAGTTTGACTTCAAACCGCAGCAGCTCGTGTCTGACATCTGTACCATCTACCTAAACCTTGGGTATGTGACAAGCGAGAGCTGCACTGGGGGAGGGCAGGACATGCCCCTGGAGAAGAGTGGCCTGCGGGTGCTGGAGCTTTAGCACTCTTAGAGGTGCTGCAGAGACTTGGTGGTAGGCTGGACACGGGCGATGTTGGCAACGAAACTGAAGCCTGGTTTAGCTTCAGCTTTGACTTGCCGTGCGTGGCAACGTCTGCACGAGGCTGACAGCTGCTACTGTATTGGTGTGAACTCCTGCTGTCCTCCCTCTCTCAGGGATGAGAGTGTCTCTTCTGGGGAATTCTTTAACTGGAAAACTCCCCTGGAAAGTCATCTGCTGCCCAGCTAGTAGGAGTGCAATTCAAGCATGGTCATAGGGAAGCTTAAATGCTAGGAAATAGGGCTCAATTTGAGGTCAAGCTTTTCTCTGGTTTCCCATCTCCTCAGTTGTTGCTGCAGTCAGGCAGCTGTGGACAGTGCTCTGCAGCCGTCCAAATGACCGCCCTTGCTCTCCTGTGCCTTGTGCTGCAGGGACGAAGACAACTTCTGTGCCACGGTGCCCAAGGACGGCCGCTCCTACTCGCCAACGCTCTTCGCCCAGACCGTGAGGGTTCTGAAGAAGATCAATAAGCCTGGCAACATGATAGTGGCTTTCAGCAACCTGGCTGAGAGGATCAAGGTAAGAAGCGGAGCAAGTTGATCAAAAAAAAAGTTATAAATATGTATATGTTGATATATGGGCATCGTTTTCCCTTGATTTATCACAGCATCCCTGCTGTGAAGCTGGAATCCCGGGCACTGTGGCTCTGTCCCAAGGGCCCCATTGGCAAGGCAGAAGGCTGCCTCTCAACACACATCTGTAATGTTTTAGCATGCAGCTCCTGCAGTACCTGCAGATGCCTGAGCACGTTGCCGTGTCTCTAGGTTCCGGGGGAAGGTTTTCCAGTCCCGGTGCTCTCTTGCTTCCAGTTGTTAGCAGAAGGGGCCTGGGAGGGCGTGCGGGGCTCTGCCCAGTAAAGCGCTCGGTGCTTCGCCCCGGGCCGGAGCAGCTCTGGGGAAGCCGCTGTTCAGAAGCTCTGTGTGCCTGTCAGTCTCTCGCAGACCGGCAGCAGCAGGAAGAGGAGACGTATGCGGACGCGTGCGACGAGTTCCTGGACCCGATCATGAGCACGCTCATGTCAGACCCGGTAGTGCTGCCGTCGTCCCGCGTCACCGTGGACCGCTCAACCATAGCCCGGCACCTGCTCAGGTAGGCGAGCAGCCCCGCTCTGCTCGTGCTCCGCGCAACACCTCCTTCACCAGGACACAGCACATGTTGGCGAGCGGCCTACCTCGTGCCCGTGTTACTCGGGGACTCCGCAGTCCAGAATGTTAACATAACTGCCGCCCTTGTCCAGAACAAGGAAAACTCTGTGTTTTCCTCTGTTCACATATCCACAACAATTCATCATTCATCCTCCTTTTATTGCACTGTTAGGAGGTGAGTTGACAGGAGATACCTCCAAGCTACACTTCTCTGTGTTGCATTTAATTTATCCAATGACGTTAACATCTGTCTGTGTCCTAGCAGAGCAAATCCACTTCACTTGAGAGCAGGAAGGTCACACTGATCCTTCCTGCTTCCCTTTCCTGTTTCTTTCAGGATAGGCCTGTCAGAAAACTAATCTCCTTATTACTTTTTCAGTGACCAGACGGATCCTTTTAATCGGAGCCCCCTCACTATGGACCAGATTAGACCAAACACAGAGCTTAAAGAAAAGATCCAGCAGTGGCTTGCGGAGAGGAAGAAGCAGAAGGAGGAGCTGGAGGACACGCTGAACTGATGAAATCTCCATCTCTAGACCTACAATCATCCACAAGAGAAATGCCTTGCAGGGGTGGTGGTTGGCACCCAGAGCATCCGTGAAAGCTGCCACTTCCAGCCAAAATGCATTTGTTAGTGCAGTGCCACCACCCCTGAAATCTCTCCTAGGACCTTCCCTTCTCTCCCTTCTTTCAACTTTCCTTTCAAGACTTACTGTTTAATATTAGAAAATTCCACTGCACTCCAGCTTATGCTTCTTTTGATGGTCCCTGTAATCCGATTGTGTCAGCTCTTTCTGAGGACTGCCCGGTTCTGTGCTCCGTGATACCAAAAGGATTCCTCGTAGCCAGTTGCTGCTCTCTGCTCCCCTATGCTCAAACGTGCAGCGCACTGCTCAGCGTGGAAACGAGGCCCGTGATGCGCAGCAGCGCTCGGCTGCCCGCTGTGCTGCAGTCCGGGCGCGGCCCGGCCCGGCCCGGCGGTGCCGGGTCTCGAACCCGCGGCGCGGGCTCCTGGCGGCGGCGGCGCGTGCGCGGCGGGGCGGGGCGGCGCGTGCGCGGCGCGGAGGTGACTTTGCGGCTGCGCGGGCGGCACGGCGCGGTGCGGTTCGGCGCGCTCCGGCTCGGCTCGGCTCGGCTCGGCTCTGCACTGCAGCCATGGCGCAGGCCGCGCAGAGGCTGCTGCAGCGCGTGGCCACGCGGGGCCCGCAGCTCGTGTCCGGTGAGCGGGGCGGCGCGGGGGGCGGCCGGGCCGGGCCGGGCGGCGCTGAGCGCCCCTCGCTCCGCTCTCTCCGCAGCCGCGCTCGCCTACTCGCGCCCGCGCCTCGCCACCTTCTGGTCCTACGCCAGGGTGGAGCTGGCGCCGCCGACGCCGGCCGAGGTGCCCAAGGCCATCGAGAGCATGCGGGCCATGGTGCGCGCCTTCCAGGCGGGCCGCCTGGCGCAGCTCACCGTGCGGGTAAGTGCGGAGGCCTCGCGCCGCCCTTGGCCCGCAAGGTCACCCGCGCCCTGCCGCTTTCCGCGGCTCCGGGCTGCCGCTGGAGCTGCAGAGCGCAGCCCTCGCTGCCGAGGGCCCGTGCAAAGCGTGCGGGGTCGCTGGCTGCCCCTGCCCTTGGTGAAACCGGTTCCTCTTGCAGGCGATGGGGGCTTGGGAGGCGGGCATCTGCACTGATGCTGTGGCTAAGGCTGCGTGACATCTCTTGCTTGCTGATAGGCTTCCAAAAAAAACCCATTTACAAACATTTAAGAGTTCTTTCTGGATAAGCAGATGAGCAGGGCGGTTCGAGCATCTTTCCTGTTAAACACCATAAACCCCAGATCAGCCATGTGGCTTCTGCCCCAGCCCTTGGCTTGCGCACCAGGCGCCTGCTTTGCCAACCGTACGTGCCGTCGGTCGGAAGAGCGGGAGGCGGCAGCGGCGGCAGCGGCACGGGCTCCCACGCGCCCTGCGCGTTGTGTCTTTCAGGAAGCCCTGAGGAACGGCTTGGTGGCCACCGAGGTGCTCATGTGGTTTTACATCGGCGAGATCATAGGCAAGGGCGGCCTCATTGGATACAACGTCTGACGAGCGCGCTCCGTAGTCCCTGTCTGCTCCCTCCTGCCTCCCCGTTTGTAACGGTATCTAAGAAAATAAAAGCCGGAACTGACGGAGAATTGTGGTGGTCTTTTTGAGGCGCATGGGACTTGAGCCTGTCCCTGGCCTGCCTGTGATGGAGATGAACTCCACCGGAGGGTACAGGGACCCCCCTACTTTTGTGTGCGCAATTCCCACTACATGGGAATCTCTGGCAAGCAGGAGCAAAGCTGCCTTTGGTTGAAACTCTGCTTGTTGTTTCTGTGCTAGTTCCTGGCATGTCTCTGCCCTGTTGCACTGTGTGGTCTGCTGCAGGCTTACAGGAGTCTTGAACCTAATGAATTCTCAATTCACAAATGCTTTCATTTGCTCCTGGCCTTTGCTTAACAGTAGCTATAGCAGGAACCAAAAAGAACTCCTTGGCCTTGGAGTTGCTGAGGTACTGTGTGGTCCGGAGCGTTATTCACACCCCGCTCTGCTGCTCCAAGGAGGAATTTGCTGCGTGAGGTCCTGGAAAGTAAGCAGAACTAGATGTGTACCTTAAATTGCAAGCAGCAGTTCCCAGGTGTGTGTGCTTTGTGTAGAGAGATCTGCAGATGCTCAGCTGCTTCAGAGGAACTGCACTGTAGCACAGTCGCTTTCAAGACTTTCAGGAAAAAGGATTTATCAATTAATGTGCTGTTGTCGTCTAGGGAAGGCTCAGGTTAGAACAAAAGGGGCATCCAAAAATACCAAATCCACCTTCCTCCAAAGTAAAGACTGAGCGAGCAAGTGCAGCGCCGAGCCCGTGCCTGCTGCCCGCTGCGCAGAGCTCCGCAAGCTGCTGCCATCCCTCGTGGCTGCTCCCTCAATCCTGCGGGTCTTGTGCCCAGCTCCTTGGTGAGTGTCCCGGCCTGTGGCTCGGCTGCGCCGTGTGACTCTCCAGGTCCCCTGGCAGCCTGTGCCAGCAGCGCGGGGCCTGCTCTTCCCGCGCTGCAGCAGCATGGCATGGCTCCCATCTCCTCACAGAGGCCGTGCAGGGGAGGCCACGAGCTGCACGGGCTGTGCGAGGGAGTTGCTGATGGCAATGGTGGAAGATGCCGCATTCAGCTCAGCGCACGCGCTGCGGGACTGGCTGCCTCGCTGCTGGTGTGGCGGCCGAAAGGGCAGCGTGTGGACGGGACTGCCCGGGCACGGGGATGGGGGCCAGGCTCCCGCCCTGCCCGGCGTCTCAACCGTTTCCCCTTTCTAGCAGAGAGGGGCAGTTGCCCGTTTCCTTCTGTCCATATTTGGAGCCAGCAAGTAAACAACGTGTGGTAGGTCTGTGCCTGCTCTCCCATGGGCTCCTATGGACCTGTGCCTGCCCCGAGTCCCTCAGGACTGCCCACATAAAACGCCTCGCTCTTACCAGGAGAGGCTGCTGGTACAGGCGGTGGAGGAGGCCCTCCAAGGAGGCCGCGCACACGGTGTAGGTGCCTCCTGGCTGCCCCGCTCCCCCGGCGGCTGAGGTTTGCAGGCGCTGCGGTGCAGCAGGTCACTGCTGCACGCACAGTGCTCAAACCTCATGTGTCTGGAAGGTTAACCTGGAGCAGCAAAGCATGCGAGAGCTTGGGAACACCCTGTTCACACTCCCCAGAGACTGCCCAGTTCACACTCTGCCTCATTTTGACAGATTATTTTCCATCTACAGGAGTCCTAACGAGAAGCGCCCAGGTCACGCTCCCAAAGCCCAACGCCAGCAGCGCGTTGAGTGCGACGCAAGCAAGACTATGCCTGCAAAGCGGGGGGCCAGACGAGCTTCTTGTTAACACCACAGCTCCTGCTTCTCCGCTTTGATAACTTGGAAAAAAAAGAAAAAATGAAATAAACCTTTCTTTCCCCCACAGTCACTTTTTTCCTCCTTCAATTGACAATGGAACTGTAAAGGAAATGGGCATTTTTTGCCTCCCAAACGTACAGTTTCCTCATAGCTGGTATTCCTGTATTTGCTTTTCTTTTGTTTTGTCTTTACGAGTGAGGCAGGTATGTGTTGGAATTTAGCTCTTGCTCCACTGCAGAGGCTGGAGAGGCTCCTGTGCAGAGATGCCAAGGGGCCAAGGAGAGCTCCCTATGGAGGAGGAACCACTCTGCTGCTGGGGCTGCCTCCTGGGTGCAGAGGACCCTGAACCAGCGGGCAACCAGCGGGCCCGGGCAGGGCACGGCCGTGGCAGTCCCCGCTCCTGCAGGTACCGTTGGTTCCTACCTGTGCTGCCGGGCCGCTGCGTGTCCTCCGTGAAGGGCTTGTTGCCGGGCACGGCGGCAGCGTCCCCTGCGTGCCGTGAGTGAAGCCCGGGGCTCCGCGCGCGGCGGCCGCTCACAGGGCCGGGCCTCGCCCTCGGGGGGCACCCTGCCTAAATGGGGGTGCGGGCCCCGCTGTCGCTGGCCGGGGGGCAGGCGGCCTTCTCACCGCGCGGGGAGCGGGGGGACCGTGCGTGTGTGTCGGGGGGATCGCGTCCCGGGCTTTGGAGGGGCTCTGGGTTTCCTGTCACGGTGCGGGGCTGTCAGCACGCGCGCCCCTCGTGTCCCCCCCGCGCAGGGCAGCGGCGCGGCCGCCAGCGCCTCAGGCCGAGCCCCGCGCGGCCCCGCGCCGCGCATCCGCGCCGCGCGTATGCCGGGGGCGGGCGGCAGGCGCTATGCGCCATGCGCGGTCCGGGGCGCGGGCAGCCGCGCGCTCGCTCGGCATGGCCCTTGCTGTTATGCCGGTTGCTTACGGTGCCGCTATGCGACATCCAGATTGCGGGGCCCGCTGGCGGGAGGCCCCGCACCTGTATTCCCCGCAGGGTTATGAGCGACTCCTATTGCGGAGAGCTGCGCAATGCAGGGAGAGGGGCCGCGCCGCGGGCCGGGCCCGGGAACCTGCATAGCGCCCAGCATTATGCCGTGCGAGCACCAGTTGCGCATGGCTCACCCACGTGCCGGGGCGGCGGGATGGCGGGGCCCCGCAACCTGCATGGCGGGCGGCGGTATGCAGGCCCTCTGCGGGGCGGCGAGGCGCTATGCAGGGCGCGGGGCGCGGCCCGGCCCCGCTCTCTGGCTCGTCGCCTCACAGTAAAGATGGCGCACAGCGGTCGGTGGCGCTTCCCTGCCCGGCCCAGCAGCGGCTGGGGCCGCCGGGGGCTGGGGGGCTCCCGGCTGC